CAGGCCCTCCTGCCGGGCCCACATCACGCCCCGGGCATCACTCCGCACCCACCCCAGCCGGCCTCGCAGCTTCCTCTTCCCCCACGAGCTGCTGGGTAACATTCTTGGCCTGTGATCCGAGCCCTGCCACGGCTATTAATATCGCCTCTGCGGGGAGGGTCACTTCAGGAAGGCGCTGGGCTCATGGGCGGGGTGGGGAGGCCTGAGGAGAGCCCTGGCCAGCCTGGGGTTGGGAGGCTGACCCAGGAAGAGCTCCCAGCCAGCTGGCCTGGCCACGCTGTCCTTTCCTAGGACCATCTCAATGAGTTTAGAATGGCCACTTGGCCTGCTCCCTCCCTCATCAAGGGTCAGTGCTCCCCAAAAAGCAGAGGGAACATGGACAATCACTGAGCACCCACCTGTACCAGGCCTGCACACACCTACCTGGTTTATCACCGCACCAAGTACACGGGTGGGGCTCAACCCATTTTACAGATGAAAACCCATTTACAGCCTGCTGCCCCAAGAGGGGAAAAAGTGCAAGGTGACACGGCCAGAAGGCCACAGAGCCAGGGTCTGAGCAAGCCAGCACGAGGCCGTCCTTGCACCAAACGCCTCCACTAAGGGACTGACTGCCCACCAAGAATAACGTCTGCTACATAGGACTCTCTCTGTCCTCGTACTACCTCGGACATCCTCACCACAGCCCTACAAGAGAGACAGCCACGCCACTGTACAGATGAGGAAACCGAGGCACAGGGAGGTGAAACTACAACATTTTCCAGGAGGACACAGGCTCTCAAAGTTCTGCCTGGCTTGAGGCCTGTGTTCCTTCCGCTGCACCAGGCCATGTGCTGAGGACGGGCAGCAGACAAAGCCTACGTCCTTCCAAGGAGAACTGGCACCCCCAGAATTCCATCAGCTGTGATCCCACTGTACTGGGATTCTTTGTCTCCTTGTCTGTCACCTCCAAAGATGTGAGGTCAGCAGCAGGGGCTGGTCTCACTTGGCCCTGTCCCACCAATGCCTGGGAACACATCAGGGGCCCTGACCTAGACATTCTCTGGAGGAATGGACCAGAGCCTGGTGGGGACCAGGAGCGAGGGTAGCCACCTGAAGGGGGCTTCAGGGGAACAGGGGCAGGACTCATGTTCACAGCTGTGTTCCAAGGCTTTAGGACAGTTCCTAGCACATAGTAAATGCTTAATAAAACTTGTCACATGAATAACCAATTGAAATCTAACCATGGGACACTTCTGTGTAAAACCTTCTACTGACCTTCCAGCGTCCTTAAAACCAAAGGCAAATGCCCAGCAAGGCTGACAGAGCCTGTACTGACCAGACCCTAACCTATCACGCCTGCCCTCACTCCCGCCACCTGAGGCCTCCTCTATCCCTTCCAGGCCTGTGTGTCCTCAGCCCTGTCACAACCCCTCTGTGCCTATTCCCTCATCTGCTGCATGGGATTGTGAGAGTTCTCTGCACCTTGTGTGATGAGGATAAGGATTAAGTGAGGAACTGCAGGCTCATAGGAGAGCACCTGGCACACAATAAATACTCAATTGGTGCTGACTAGGAGCACCTCTGGAACATCTCGTACTTTCCCACATCCGGGGCTCTGCACACCCACTTGCTCCTCTTCCCAGAGCACCCACTCTGCTCCACCTGGTGACCTGTGCCTCCTCCTTCCCTGATCTTCCATCCCCAAGTCCATCCTCATTTTCTCCATGCCCCCAGGGCACCCCAGTGGACCACTTGTCAACCTGTCCTGTCATTTCCCACGTCCGTGTCTGTCTCCCACGCTGTGCCACCAGCTGGCCCCGGAGGCACTGCTGATACATGCACCCTGGGTCCCTGCATGCAGCGCCGGCTGTGGCGCTTAGTAGGATTCAGTAAATGTCAGCTGGTTGGAGAGATGGGTGGATGGATAAAGGAAGGAGGGAACAGGAACAAAAAAGATGAGGACAGGTGAGCCAGACAGCATAGGGGGCAGGAGGCCAAGACGGCTGTGACAAAAGCAACAGGGACGCTGAAGGGAGAGGCCCAGCTCTCCCAGAAGAGACAGGCCATGCCTGCCAGAGGAAGGGGAGGCACACTGGGACCTACCAGGATATTTGGGACTCAGCCCTCAACCCCCACCGCCAGAGGAAGCCATACGCCAAGTGGTACCCACCCAGCATGACCACTGGGGTGTAAAGCAAAAATCCCACCCTCCCGACCCGCAGCCCAGAGCTGAGCACCAGACCCTCCCGCTCGGGCAGCGCCTCACCGAGGACATCCTTCCTGTGCAGGAAGGAGACTTTGCGCATGACGGCCATCCGCGTCTTCTCCAGCCCATCCTTGGTCCCGCTTTTGGCGGCCTTCATGAGCTGGGTCATCTGAGCAAAGGTAGAGAGGCTCATCAGGGAAAGGACGGCCTGGGATGCCTGCCACCGAGGGCCACCCGCCTCCCCGGGCCTCAGCCTGCAGAGGTCAGAACCACCCAGACCCTTCCCTCCCAGGTCAGTGAGCAGAGGCCAAGGACGCCAGTGGGGGTGAGAAGGTGCATTCATGCCCAGGGATCTCCCTCTTTATGGGCAAGACGGGGCCATAACTGATTTTTTTCCCTTCGGGACAGACTATGTGAACATAGTCACAACCAGGAGATGATGTGACCTGGCGAGGAGTGTGGCAAGGGGTGCTGGAGACCTGGAGCCCTGGGCCACCCCCCAGTGGCATGACTCTGGGCATGTCACTGAACGTCCCTGAGCCTCCATTTCCCCAGGCAAAACTGAGGAACAACAATACCTATCCTTGTCAGGGTCTGTGAGCACAAAACATTCCGGGTCTGGGAAAGCTCCCTGAGCAGCAAAATGCACTCCACGATGTTGAACATGACCTTAGGAGCAACTAAAGGAGGTGTGTGCACACCCCCATCCCATCAGCCAAACCCAGGTGAGGGACCCGTCCCTTGCCTCCCCCAAAACAGTCAGGTTTCTTACTGAGCCACTGTCTGGGAAAAGGAGAAAAGGCTGAAGTTGCCAGAAAGAAGAGGCAGCTTCCCCTGGCGGTGGGGAGGGGATCCATGGACATGAGCGTAGCAAGCTAAGCAGAAGGTGAGAAGTAAGGAGAGCGTGTGCCCAGGAGGGAGAAGTGGGCATCCGGGGCGATGGGGGAGCCCAGGCCTGAGACAGAGCTGCTGTCCCCTCAGCCAGTCCTTTGTCCTCCCAAGCCCCAGCCCCGGCCCCTGCATCTTCTCCAACACACAGCAGCACCAGCCGAGAGAAGGCTCTGCCATGACAGAAACACCTGTATCTGCCCTGTCCAAAATGGAAGCCACAGGCCACATGTGACCATGGAGCACTTGAAATGTGCTGGTGCGAGGAAGGACCCAAATTTCTAAATATATTTAATTTTAGTTAATTTCCATTTAAAGAGCCACATGGCTATCATAATGGACAGTGCAGTCCTAAGAAAACCTTCTCCTTCCTAAAACTCTCTACTGAAGGTGGGGAGCGTGTCTCTGGTCTCCGCTCTATCACCTCCAATAACCCCTTGGTCCCCACTTAAGTATCCAAGTACCTCTTGGGGGTCCGGGCAAGGAAGGGTTGCTGAAAAACCACCAGGTGCTGTGCACGGGGAAGCAGGGGTGATGGCTTTTAAGGAACGAGGCTGACTTTCTGGAAGGAACCAGCAGCAGGGAAAAAGAAGGAAGTTCCCTGCCTGCCCTGCATTTCTACAGGACAATCCTAGAGCAGTTGTGCTTGGCCTTTTCTGGGGTTGGGCAGGCGGAGTGGTCACAGAGCCTTTGAGAATCTAATGAAATGGATGGCATAGACGCTCATCTTCTTGTTGGGGGAGCGGGAGGAGGGGGTTACACCCTCAGAGACCCGAAACCTCTGTTCCAGAATCCAGTTTCTGTCCTGGCAGAAAGCCATCAATGGTGCTGTCGTGAGCCCCACAAAGTGGTCTTTCAGGGGATCATCTGAGGCCATTCTCCTGGCATTTTCCTGGGCAAAAAAGAACAGGCCAACACCCTAGAAAGTGTCCCTGAGTAAACCTGCCGAATCCACCCCTTCCCACAGTGTGTGGCCACACCAGGCAAAATGCCCGGTCTTAGACTCTGCCCTTCACTAGCTCCGGGCCCCTCTCTCAGCCTTGGCTTCCTGAGAGGTTAGAGCCACCCCCACCCTGGGTTACAGCCCCCTCGGGGGTATCTGTGAAAGGTCTCGTAAACTGTAAAGGGTCTGCTCTCCTCCTCCTGGAAGGCTTCACATTCCAATAAAGTGGGCAGCACTGCAGGATGGAGGACGTTTGGGCTCCGGCACGCCGCAGACCCGAGTTGGAATCCCAGCTCTGGTCTAGCTGACCACTGGTGTGGCCACTAGTCGGTTACTTGACACTAAAAGATGCAGAAAGGTAGCTACTGCCCAGAGTGCCACAAGGACAGGGCGGTCAGGTGCGTAGATAACAACAGCCACTGTCCACTGAGCTCCTAGACCCAGCACCCACCGCACACCCAACAGGCCTGACCATCCACCCTCACAGCCACCCTGGGGGCCGGTACTGTGAATGCCCCCATTTCAAAGGCAAGGAAACCAAGGCTCAGAGAGGCCAAAGGGCCTGCTCAGGATCACACCAGGAGGAAGTGGTGAGATTGGGATTCAAACCAGGCCCACAGACCTCGACAGTCCATGCCTTCAGCCAAGACACACAGCTGGTGCTCAGTTAAGGGAAGCTACTGTTGTCGACATCATCATTATCCAAAAGTTTAAGAAAGTACTGTGATTCCTCCTACACACTTCCTTATCCTGGATTCCTCTGAACAGTGTGGAGAGATAGGAACATCCAATGTCACCAACATTCACGTTTTTCAACGTGTAACCCCAACTGTGCAGATTATGAAACATGCAGATTCCTGAGCCTCATCCCAGACCTACAGAAATGGCACCCTTGGGGCTGGAACTCAGGAACCTGCATTTTTAACACAGCACCCCAGGTGATTCCAAGGGTCCCAAAGTTTGAAAACCCTCCTGGGAATTCTCGTGAACTATCAGGGTTTCACTTGCGGGTGGGGAGAAAGATAGGGGCGAGAACATGGAAGGGAACACGTGGCTTAAGGCATCTGCCAGTTCCAGCACAGACGAGAGGGTGGCCAGGGTCCAGGTCTCAGGACAGCCCTGGGACTCAGAGTGGGCCTGGGAGGCTTCATGGTACCAGGGCAGCAGGAAAGGCCCCTGGAGGTAGCTGCAGCTGGAAACAGCTCCCATCCAGGACTTGAGAAGACAGACAGACAATACCTTACAATCGTACTTGTGCTTCAGCTCCTGCATGTCTCTCCCCCCAACTCTCAAAGCCAAGATGTCTCTCTTAGTCCTGGCGTATCTCTCCTTTAGCCTAGTCAGGTCTGGAGAAAGCTGGAGCCCCAAGCGGCCAGGCAGAAGGAGAGCAGGTGAGAGGAGCAGGCGGGACAGGGAGGAGACAAAACACAGACAACAGGGGAGAAAGGAGACTCAGGTAAAGTGCGGATGGACAGCTCGGGCAGGCGGGATGCGGCACCCCAGGTCCCAGGCAGCAGTCCAGCCAGATCCTGCTTGGAATCTGCTCCAGCTGTGTCCAACCCCACCACGCCAGGCAGCTGGGGGCCGGGTCTCTGCAGCAGGGAATCTGGGCTGTTGGGGTGGAGAGGTGGGAGGGGACCAAACCCAGGCCTCCTATCTTAGGGAAATGGGAAAATGTTCTGAGGGCAAGGACTGTGTCTTCTCCCCAGCCCTGTGGCCCAGCACAGGGCTTGTAACATAGGAGCTTCTTGGTAAGTTTGTGACATGGACAGATGGCAGGTGGATGGATGGATGGAATGAGGTCGGGGGATAAATGGATAAGTGGGCAAATCCACAGAAAGATGAATGGATGGGTAGAGGTAGGGTTTGGCAGATGGATGGGCAACAGACAGGCAGGTGGATGGGTAGATGAACAGGCTCATAGAGGGATGGATGGATGGATAAATAAATGGATGAATGAATGGATGGACAGATAAACAGATGGATGAGCAAATGGATAAATTTGGTTAGGTGACTATATAGCTGGGCAAATGGACAGATGGATGGATGAAGAGAGAGTCAGATGAAGGAATAAGAGGATGGATGGATAGATGGATAGGAGAATGGATTCAGGCAGTGCTGTGCTGGCAAATATTTAACAACCAGTTCTCCAGGAAAAGGGCCCTGCTTTGAAGCATTTCCATGGTGTGAATACTTCCACCAATTTCAAGCTATCAAATTGACATCACTGAATGGGAATTTGTAAAGAGATGCTCATAACTGGTTCCTGAGTTCTTGTGAGCTGACACTAGCTGCCTCTGGCACACTGCTGGAGGATGAATGGAGGGAGGATGAGGGAAAGGTAAAGGGAGGGAGGGGGATGGGCAACTGGATGGAAGAATGGATGCTCAGCTTACAGACTATCTGGAGGATGGATGGATGGACAAACAGACGGGAGAACAGGTGGATGGACAGAAGAACAGATAGATATTCAAGTGCATGAACCATATGAGCAACAGTGATATTTGGTAAAGTGCACAAAAGACCAAGACAGGTGCTATTTCTAGAGAAGCAGATACAAGGATCAAGAGGCAGGTAGGCCTACTTCAAATCATGGCTCCCTGCTTACTAGTTGGAAAAGTCTCTACCTCTCTGAGTTGCAACTTCCTCACTGGTAAAGTGGCCATAATAATAGCCTCTGCATAGGGTTGTTGAGAAAATGAAATGTACATGCAAAGCTGAAAGCCGAGAGCTTATTAAGTATTCAAAAAATGGAGGCCATTATTATCTTTCAAATTGCAAGTGCTCAATATTTGTTGGGTGGGTGAATGGATGAGTGGATGGATGGATGGATGGATGGATGGATGGATGGACATACAGACAGATGAGGCAAATGTGATGTTGCATTCTACATCATTTAAATCTCTCTGAGCTTCACACAGGTTTTCTGATCAACAAAATGAGAATCTTAGCAACAATAATACTGACCACTTAGGGTACCACTTAGGGTAAATGGCACTGCTTTGTAAAGTGCACCATTCTAGGCAAATGTTCACTATTGTCATGCAAAGAAGTATGCAAGACAGGGGTCTCTCTGAGACCTACCCAGACTCCCAAAAAACTGGGGAGTTTGGGGTTTGACCTGAGTCATGTTCATCTATAAAATAGTTTCACACAATAAAATCAGAAAGTCCCTGGGTCTTCTGGTGCTCCCTCCCTTCTTTCAGGGTCAGAAGAACAAGGAAATGTCAGGATCAGAGGCCACTTGCTGAGTTGGCCAGATCAGAGCAGGGGGTGGAGCAGGCTAGGCCAGGGTTGGCATTTCTGTAATGAATCCACGAGTTCTGCCCAGTCCCCATCCAGCTGGATCAGAGACCTTGATTTCAAAGAGGTCACTGCTGGAGAGTGGAACAGTTCAATGCAATCCATCCCACAACTGGAAAAAAAAAAAAAAAAAAAACCCACAGACCCCAGATTGGCACCAGCAGGACCACTTGTTCACATAACAGGATGAGGTAGTTGCTTCCACTTGGGTCCGTGCCCTTCTACAGATCCCATGGTCACTTTTTTTGGCAAAAGTCCACCTGCCTAGGGATGGCCTCTACGGATATCTGAAGAAGGGGTTCCATTAGTTCTCTTGTAGCTGGGCAGGGTGCCTGGCAGTGGTCAGACTCCAAGAACAGGACAAAACACATCCCCAGATCCCTGCTGTCCTATGCCCGCAGCACATATAACACATAGCCAAGCAGCAGTGGCTCTAAAACATGCAGCTGCTGCAATGCCAGCGGGTGAGCAAGTGCGCCCCAAGCGGCTCAGGAGGGTGAAGCACCACAGGCAGGCTCAGTAGAGTCCCTGGCAGAAGTGGGTACCTGAGGAAAAGCCCTCCACAACCTCCTGTCTCCCTAGGAGCCTGCTGATCAGGGAGCAGGTGGGCCTTGGCCATGGCCAGAGAAAAACTCCAAATGGTTAGAAATCCTAACAACTGTGCCATATAGTTTGTCTGCTGAGGAAGGGTCCAAAGCCTCCAGCTTGAGAGTGTGAGGGACACAAGCTCACAGGCAGCCCCCAGAGGCCCCATTCCCAGGGCCAGGCCATGGTGAGCACGGCCCAGCATTTCTTGGAGTGCTCTGTGAGCCCCTTGTACTCCCTGGGGGCAGAGAGCTGCTTAAAAGGCAGATTATCGGGCCCCACCCAACCTCTGAATCAGAGTACCTGGTGAGGCCCTGGCATCTGTGATTCAACCAGTTACCCATGTGATTCTGATGCCTGTGGAAGAATGAGGACCACCACTGGAAAGCCTGAATTCAGCATCGTCATCCCTCCTTCCCTCTGAGAGAAACGCATGGTATCCTCCCAGTCCCAGCAAGAGGGCCAGGGCTACCATGGGAAAGAAGGAACGCCAGAGGCTGAGGCTAAAAGGCTAGGCCAGGACTCGAGAGTCCCAAACTGGTCACTGCCCAGAGCAGGGCTGGGACACTCCAGTCCTGCCATAGGGAGAGGCTACTGGGGGGAGTGGGGGCTTCATAACCAAAGCCTCCTTCCCTAAAGCAGTGCATGCTGCCCCTTCTGAACTGCAGGAAGCAGCAACAAGCTATTCCTGGGCTTCTGCCTAGGCTGCTCCTGCAGGCTGGATCACCTGTCCCATCTCCTCTGGCTCCTAAGCCCAGCTCCAACTCACCACTCTCAGAGGCCTCCTCTGATTGGTCACATCAGTCCCTACCCCTATCAGGCACACAGCCAGGCTGGACACAGGCTCAAGTTTATATAAAGGCATTTTTGTCTTCATTTTGTTTTGAAGGGCATGATAGTTTATTTTTGAAAATTGTACCACACTGATCATGATGACCAGCATTTTGTCTTCATTTTTGACAAATGGTTTCCCATTCAGTGTCTCCTGTGGACCGTAAAGGTTCACTGAGTACAGATCAGGTCTTCCTGTTCCAATGTATCTCATCCCACAACTGAGGAAATGGACTAGGCAGACAGTAGGTGTTGTAAATGCTTCGCTTTTTGGCTAGCAAGACATTAAGGCTGTTTCCCACAGCCCAGCCTTGGAGGCCCATCCCTGGAGAGTCCCAGGCTTGCTCAGGACTCAGGGAGCCCATCTTGGTCTGAAGAACGGCTGCCTGAGGACTCAGGTGTTGGTGTTCCTCCGGCCAGCATGCCTCTCCCAGAGTGGATCCCCAAACCCAGAAAAGGTGGGAAGCACCGGGAAAGTCCCCTCTCTTGTCCCTACCCTGCCCATGCAGGAATGGCCCCAGGTGGAGCTCTCCTGCCCTGCTACATCTTTTAAAAGGAGCTTGAGGCTGGGCACGGTGGCTCACACCTGTAATCCCAGCACTTTGGGAGGCCGAGGCAGGTGGATCACTTGAGGCCAGGAGTTTGAGACCAGCCTGGGCAACCTGGCGAAACTCCATCTCTACAAAAATATAAAAATTAGCCAGGCATGATGGTGCATGCCTACAATCCCAGCTACCCAGGAGGCTGAGGCAGCAAATTGCTTGAACCTGGGAAGCAGTAGTTGCAGTGAGCCGAGATAATGCCACTGTACTCCATCCTGGGTGAAAGAGTGAGACTCTGTCTCAAAAGAATAAAATAATAAAAATAAAAATAAAAGGAGCAGAGGGGCCCCACCCCCTCTGCTTAGTCAGGGCCTATAAGAAGCTGTCCCCATGAAACTGCAAATCTCAGCACGGACAGACACTGCCTCTTGGTGGCTTCTGCAGAACACAGGGAAGGAGCATGGGTGCCACGGGAAAGGAGGAACCAGATGACCTGTCCTCCTCGCAGCCTCAGGGGCTCCCCTCCAGGAAATAAGCAGAATGGCCCCTGCTCCAGGCAGAAACACCAGGAAAGCCGAATGCATGGATGGCACTGTATGAGGCCCCGGAGAGAAGCCTTCCATGTCGCTCTGGCTGAGCCACAGCAGCCCCCACTGTCCACTCCCCAGAGCAGAGAGGACTGTGCGGGCTGAGGCCTGGACTGTCCCCAAGCATCAGTCCCAGAGGGCGGGGAGAGCAAGTGGATCTGATCCCGGCTCCACCTCTAAGCAAGTTGCTGGGCTACCTGGAGTGCGGCGTTGAGAGGACTCTGAAGCCCAGTCTGAGCCCGTGAGCATGAGGATCAATCGACCAGGTCTGCTATAGCAAGGGGATGGGGGGAGCATCTGTGCCAGGTACCAGCCATGCCCATCCTGGGCTTACGGCTGCCAACAGCAATGTCTGTGGGCCACCTCCTGTTTCAGGATGACCTGGGCTTCTGGCTCCCCTCTCACCACACATTCCTGGGAATCCCTGGGACCCAGACGTGAGTCCTGGGCCTGGCCCTCACCACCCTGCTCCCTCCCTCCCTGAAGGGGTCTCCATGCCCTGAGTGAAGTGAGAGACACCCCCGGTCCCCTCACCTTGGGCTGGAAGGACACTCGGTGCTTGGTGGGCTCGACCTCCGGCTTGGCCTCCTCCCCTGAGTCCTCGCTGTAGCTCTCGAACTCACTGGAGCTCCAGCCTAGGTCCTCCGCCTGCCGAGGGGCCCCAGCCCTGTGCGCATCCTCGTAGAGCAGGTTCCTCTCTGCCCCTGCTGGCCAAGCGGCAGCCGGTGAGCCCAGGCCCTGAGGCCAAGCTTACCAGACTTCCAGCCTCAGACCCAATTTCTGAACACAGGTGGGGTGAGGCGGGTCAGGGAGAACGTGGGGGCCCTGGGGCTCCAGCTGTACTTCCTCAACCATGAAACGAAGATGATAATACATCTTCCCCCTCGTAGGGCAAGGAGGGCCTGAGAAAATGGGGAAAACACAAGAAACACGTCAGCTGCGCATGGGCCCACTCACTTCCTTTTGCTCCCAGCACTGCTTTTGTATGGTCCCAGCTCTCATTCTGGGCCTCCCTGGCAATGTTTTTTTTTTTTCTAGAGACAGGGTCTCATTGTCTCACTCAGGCTGGAGTGCAGTGGTGCAATCACAGCTCACTGTGGCCTCAAACTCCTGGACTCAAGTGATCCTCCCATCTCAGCCTCCCGGGTAGCTGGGACTACAGGCATGAACCATCATACCCAGCTATTTTTAAATTTTTTTTGTGGAGATGGAGTCTTGTTATGTTGCCCAGACTGGTCTTGAGCTCCTGGGCTCAAGTGATCCTCCTGCCACCGCCTCCCAAAGTGCCAGGGTTACAGGTGTGAGCCACCGCACCCAGCCGAGCCATCACATGTGACCTGTTTCTTACTGGAAAAGAGAAGACCCAGAGCCAAGTCCTGGCTCAGGCCCTCAGCATCCTCACGAATGAAACAGAGATTGTTGGGGCCTCAGAGTCCCTCACCCCAAATCTGAGTTCACGTGCAGCCTGAGATCTTCCAGTAGGGGGCGCAGCTGGCCCAGAGTCCAGGAGCTCCTTTCCTTCCTAAGCCCGCGGGAAATGCCCTGGACTGAAGACTTGGGGACAAAAAGCTGAGTCGCATCGTCTGGAGGGACAGGTCCCACAAGGGCCAGGGCACTCGTGGGGCCCATTCAACTGGGCTATGAGATGCCGCTTGAAGCCTGAGGTGGGAAAGCCACTGTCCCAAGGCCAGAACACGTGGCCTCAGCCCCAGCTCCGTCACTGGGGGATCTTGGGCAAGGCCCTTTGCCCCTCTGGGTTTCATTTCGTCATCTGTTACCTGGAGAACCGCAGACCTCACGGAAGTGGGGTCGGATACCAAAATGTACATGAAGATGAAAATGCTTTTGTCATCACAGAAGAAATACAGCATTGGGAAAGGTTTTTTTTTAAAAAAAGGAATCTGACCGGTCGTGGTGGCTCATACCTGTAATCCCACCACTTTGGGAGACTGAGACAGGTAGATCGCCTGAGGTCAGCAGTTTGAGACCAGCCTGATCAACACAGTGAAACCCCGTCTCTACTAAAAATACAAAAAATAGCCAGGTGTGGTGGTATGCACCTGTAGTCCCAGCTACTTAGGAGGCTGAGGCAAGAGAATCACTTGAACCCGGGAGGCGGAGGCTACAGTGAGCCAAGATCGTGCCACTGAACTCCACCCTGGGTGACAGAGACAACATCTCAAAAAAAAAAAAGAAGAAGAAGAAAAGAAATCTGCTCAGAAACGACTATGCCAAAAAACTGTGAGCTTTGGTCATCGGATACCTCTCTGCAAAATGGGGCTAATAATAAGCGGACAGATCGAGCAAATAAAACAGCCAAGGGGCTCTTGGCAAAGTGCCTGGCACATAGCATGCACTCGGCTGAGAGCAGCAGGCCGTCACTCATGGTGGTTCTGGGGGAGCTTGGGTGTCAGTCCATAGACCCAGGGCCCCTGAGCTTCACCCCACAGGAAAGCTGGGGTGTGAGGGGCTGGGGGCAAGAGTGCCAGCCAAAGAACAAAACAGATGTGCCAAAGCTTAGTGGGAGATGGATCCCAGAACCAGGAGGGAACATGAGGTTATTTTTAAGCAAAAGATAGTGGTAACTGATGTCTTTAGAGAGTGGAGCAGCTGTGACCTTCAGAAAGCCAAGCTGATTGTCCCATTACTGCAGTGGAGGCCCCTCGACTAGTGACCAAAGAGGCGGAGTTCTCGGGGTAGCCCTGAGGAGGAACCCCGGCAGCACGTGGCAGGTCCACGCCTCCACAGGGCTGAGCTGTGCACCCGACCACCTCCATCCTCAGTGTGCCACGGCGGCTCCCAGCGGCCCTGTGCAGACAGCAGGGTGTGAAAGATCACTCCTGTTAGACAGATGGGAGAGACGTGGCTGGCCACAGTAAGACAGTGAGTGGGGCTGGGGCTCCACACCACCTTCCATTGAAGTCTCCACCATCTACACATATAGAAATATCCTTTCCAGTGGAGACAGAGTCACAGAACTCTTGTGCCTGTGCACCGCCCGAGGACCAACTCCTTAGCTTTCAGGGACCACATAAGGGTCCCCTCATGCTTCCTGCTCAGTGTCCTCATCAATTACCTCATGGAATCCACACTACCACCCTAGGACTGGCTATTATTGCCCCAGTTTTACAGATGGGTCAACTGAGGCCCAGAGAGATTGGCCAGGACACTGTGTGACCCTCCCCAAAGGCCTGTGAGCTGGAGATTTTCCTGCTTTATATGAAGAAGCCAAGGCACAAAGGCACAAAGCCCTGTGCCCAAATCAATGGCAGAGCCGGGATTCAAACACAGGGCTGCGTGTGCCCACTGTTGCATACAGCCTGTCCCTTGGGTAACGACCTCCTCTCGGAGCTCCTGCTGAGCCCACATCAGCCCCAGGCAGGCCAGTGCTGGGACCCTCGGCAGGCATAACACTAACAACAGCCACAACGGCCCTGTGTGAAGAGCGTCTCCAAGAGCCAGCCCTGCACTGAGCTCTTTGCAGCCTTGTCACACTTGATCCTCCCACAGCCCAGCACGCGGGGATCCTGGGGTGGGTATTGTGGTCCTCATCTGCAGGCTCAGAGCTAGGGCGCAAACACAGGCTGTGTGACACCCAGGCCATGAACATGCCACATCCTCCCAGTCCTCACGGTCCTTCCCTGAGGACCGTGAAGACTGGGGCCAGGGACTTAGTGGCTTGATTGAATTCAGGTGGGAAGTAGGCCAAATGGGTTAAACAACAACGGAGGCCCCTCAGCCGCTCAGACCTCCCAGCTCTGGGACTTTCCTAAGACTCCTTTGCCTCCCAATACAGTGGGAATCCTACAAACAGGAAAATGTGCTCCAAGCACATCCCAGGCTTGCTAAAGGGATAAGCATATCCTTGGCCCATCTGTGCCCGTTTCTGAGACAGGAGTCAGGAGTGCGGCTCTGGGGCCCTCGGGCCTTGCCATGTTGTCTGTGTGTCTCTCCCATTGCGCTTTGTGCTGCTCAAGGATGGTTAGAACCTCTCCATCAGACTCGGAGCTCCTCAAAAGCGGGCAGGGGCTGTGCTTCCCCGTTGGATGGAGAGCCCCTGAAAACAGGAGGAATCGCATAGTAGGAAAAGAAGTCGTCTGTTCGAATCCTGGCTGTGTGCTCTGGGGCTGGTGGTTTAACCTCTTTATCACAGGAGCCATAGATAAGCCTGGCCCTGCTGACCTCATGGGGTCGTGGGATCAGTGGGATCAAATGTGCCTCATCTGTCATAAAATGTCACTCAAATCCTCCTGAGGTAGGGGACAGAGCATTGCACTTAGGGTCAGAATAACCCACATTCAAATCCTAGCCCTGCCTCTGCCGTTCCCTTGTCTGTAAAATAAGAACGTAACATCCCAAATCAAAGTCTTGAAGCCGTTACATGATTGAAAATATGCTTGGCCTAACGTGTTCAAGCAAAGATGGCTCTTCCTGTTAATTGTCATTGAACAGTCCTCTCTCCCATCAGGTGAGTTCCAGCAAGACTCGCCTTCGTCCCGCCCCGTCTCCCTCTGTGGCCACAACCGCCTGCCTGCCCGCCCACCTCAGCCCTCAACCCAGAGCAGGGCGCAGGGCTTTGCAAAGCTTTATCTGCTTCACTCTTTGAGTACAACAGGCTGTCTTCTTCCCCAACAGCCCTGGAAAGCCGGGAGTATGGCCCCATTTTCCTGAGGGAGGAATCAAGGCTTGAAAAGGTGATGACCTGCCCAGGGACCCACAGTCGGAGCATGGCCCTGCCCATGATGCCCATGCCCTGCCCAGCCCCGCTGGCCACGCCCTCAGCCATCTCCAGATTATCCCTGATGACTACAGTTGTTTCTAAAGACAAGAAGGAGGGGCACAGGGCCAGGTGGGGATAGAAGGAAACAGAAGGAGACGACCCTCCCCGGTCCCCGCCTCCCTCCCCTGTCCCCAAGAGAAACGGGAAAAGCACTGCAGACACCATACCGGGCTGATGCGCATCTGGGCTCTCGCAGGGGACGTCGTCATAAATCACATCCTCTTCCAGGGCGGGGAAAGTGAACCGGTCAACTGGGAGGGAAGCGGGGAGAGAGAGCACCAACACGGGCTGTGGCAGCCTGGCCAGAGGTGCTGCAGATGACATCAGGACTGCACCAGCTGGTGGCACGCAGCACCCTCCTTTCTGCTCAGCCCAGTCCAGCCCTCAGCCTTGCCAGCTGCTCTCAGGGGACGCTGGCTCCCCCGTTTCTCCCCACCCCCCACCTCCTCCAAGGCGCCCACCTGGCTCCCTGCTGCCCGCAGGCCTGTCCATCTGGCTAATGGATAGCTGCTCCCAGCCCCTGCAGGGAGCACGATGCAGTCCAGCACCTGTGCCCTCGCCCTAGCATCCTCAGTCACCCAGGACCCTGGGGCTAGCCCCTCATCACTGAGCAGTGCTAGGATTTGGAAAACCAGCCCCCACCCATGATGGGAGCCAGTCCTCGACCCACAGGCCTTCCAGGAAGAAGTCACAAGACCCACTGGTCTGTAATGCTTCCCTAGGTCCTGGGGCCCCTAGAGCCCTGTCAGCCCCCTCTTCCTCCCACACCAGCTCCCAGGCCTGCCCACCTCTCTCTAGGCCCCTAGTTCCCACCCTCAGACTTCCTGTCCTACAAGACCATGATAGCCTCCCAGCAGGCTCCACCCCTCCCCACCTGGTCTCCTACACTGCCCCCACCCCAGTGCAAGGGGACTGAAAGGCAAAGGCAGCCACATCACTGGCCTTCCTTCTGTGGCTTCCTATTTCCTTGAGAACCTTAAGCACGGCCTCTGAGGCCCTGAGGAGCTGCAGGGCCCACAGCCACACCTCACCCCGTAATGTTCCCCCACACCCCACAGATGAGGCCCTTGCTGCTTCCCAGGAGCCAGGGGTCCTCCTGCCCTCAGGCCCTTGCACAAGCTGGCCCCTCTGTCTGGGACCCTCTTTCCCCCACCCCTGCTGCCTCCTTCTCTATCTGCAGGGCTCATCTGGGCAGGCACCTTCCCATGGCAAAGTGTCTGGTTCTGTTAACAGAGGGACCTCATCCTGGTCCCCAGGGCATGAACACCACTGAGCCGCCCTGGCTTGTTGTGGGAGCTTTGTAAGTATTTGAGGAGCAGATGAAAAACTGGGTGTGTCAGCTGACCCTGGACTTCGGCTCTTGTGAGCAGTGGTTGGTCCTCCGGGGCCACAGCAGCCCCCAGTGAGGATGAACCCTGGGCTCACAGGAGCCCACATCAGCTCTCTTGGGTTAGGGAAGACTAGGATATCCCGGAGCCAGCTACCCGGGGTGGGTGGCGGGCCGGAGGGGAGACTTACTGCGACGGGAACTCTTCCGCTTCCAGCTGGAGTGCCGGGCCCCGGAGAAGGCTGCATCCGCTGCATCCCCATTGCTCACCCAGGCCGGCACCCTGCGGGCAACAGACGGCACTGCAGAGGTGTCCAGAGGTGGCCCCCGGAAGCCTCTGGCAGCCCCTCACCTGGTCAGCAGGACATGATGGGCAAAAGTGGGCTGAGGGCCAGGCTACTGGGGAGACCCGAGGCGGAGGTGGCCTCAGACAAGCCCCCAGGGTCCTCATCTTTAGAAGGCACACACAAGGCTGGGCTGGCACTTCACGAGAGCATAAAGATCAACTGTGTTCACAGCGATAACCACTTAGCACTCTCCGCAAGGGGGCTGTCTCGTCTCTCGCCAGTGCAGACTCAAAGGGAACCTCCACCTCTCCACTCTCCCACATACAACAGAAGGGGCAGGCTGGGGGATCCCTGCCTCTTGCAAGAAACAAGGACTTGGCCGGGCACACTGGCTCACGCCTGTAATTACAGCACTTTGGGAGGCCCAGGCGGGT